AATATTATAATAAATATATATTATATTGTAATTATATATATTATAATATAATATAATATAATATAGTTGTAATTTTTAACACAGCTAAAAATAATTTTTTTAAAAATTACAATAATACCAAACTAAGCCATTATCAGGATCTACTTATGTACCAAATGATTTTGAACCGAATAACTTGGCTTTTTGTAGGGATGCTCCCTTAACTTTACGGATTTAATAATTCAATTTGTGAATTTTTAATCTTGGCAATTGACTCCTAAACTTTAACATTTATTGCATAACAAGTCCAATTGATAACACCGTTAGATAGTTGGACGGAATTATCATGTGTCCCTCACGTGCACAGTTTAATGAGGACCAAATTAAGATTTAACCAAAAAAAATATTTTAAACAAAATGAAATATTAAAAAAACAAAAATAAAAAACAAATGAAAAATCGACAATTTCTTTGAATTATCGTCTCAAAATCCCTTACCTTTCATCTGAATTCCTTCTATTCACATATCTTTGAATCATCATCTTTCTCAGCTAAAACTCTTTTTCTCATTCTCTATTCGGTTGGTGGGAAAGTTATCATTTTTCAGAATTAAAACCAGACCCAAACCTAAACTTAGATTGAATTCGAAATCAGAGATCAGACATGGCGGAAGCACAAATGCCAAGCACCGGAGGGACACCTCCTCTGCACGAACAACTGCGACCTCGTCGGCAGTCCGGCGACCATGAATCTGTCTTCTCCGGCAAGAGCCTCTTTCTCCGTCTTCTCCGCTGCCGCCGATGACTTCGCCAATGTTGAACCTGCCGAAGGCCGTCGCGATGTTTCGTTTCTCAGCAACATAAAAAGCAAAAGAAAAAGAAAAATGAAGCTTTTATCAGAACACAGTCAAATCACAAGCCACAGCAATATAAATACATATTTCATCCCCAAAACTCAAAACTCTAACTTGCTAACGCAAATAGAAAGAAGCAAGAGAAGAAGAAGTAGAAGAAAGAATTGGTTGAGGAGATCTGATTGGGTGAGGAAAAACGAAGACGAGAAGGAGACCAGAGAGTGAGTGAGAGAGAGGGTTGCGTGAGAGAGATTTGATCATTGATTTTTTTTTTCTTTTTTTTTTAATGTTTTATTTTGTTTAAAATAATCATTTTTTTGTTTAATCTTAATTTGCTCCTCATTAAGCTGTGCACGTGAGGGACACATGGTAATTCCGTCCAACCATCTAACGGTGTTATTCATTAGACTTATTATATAATAAATTTAAAAGTTCAGAGGTCAATTGTCGAAAGTTTTAAAGACGGAATTGTAAAATCTGTAAAGTTCAGGCATCTGTAAAAAAAAGCCGAATAATTGTAACATATTTGTTCCTTTTTTTTTTCCAAGTAATAATACGGTGTTAATTTCCAATTCATAAAATGAAATTATTTATAAATATATTCACCAATTAAAAATATCATTCTACTTACAGCATTATTCATATTTAGTACAAAAAATTAGTGAATAAAATTTTATGAAGAATTTTGTATCTCGTTCACTTTGTAGATTTAAATTTTTAATTTGAGTTGATATGTGATATTTTCTGAGAGTTTTTCACTGTAACAAAAAAAGTTAGATATGATATTTTTTAAGAGCTTTTTACTGTAAAAACTTAGAACTGAAAATTCAAATCAGTAAAATAAACGAGACAATTTTCCCAAAAACAAATAATGAAAAATAAATAAAATAAAATAAAAGAGTAAAGAAGAAGCTTTTACAGACAGCAGAAGAAGTACACCAATTGAACAAGGCAAACGACCCACCATATCATATCCCAAACCCCAACACGTCACCCAAAAAAAATGCTCAAAACCTTAGCCTCCACCACCACTTCTCCATTTCTCCTGATCACCACCGCCACCACAACCGCCGCCGCGTCTCACTCTCTCTCTAAACCCTTCCTCTCTTCTCTCTCTAACCTCCGCTCCAAGCCCCTCTCCTCCTTCCCCTGCACCCGCCGGTCCCTCCTGCCCAAGCCCGCCATGAACATCCTCAACAAGCTTGGCTTCGGCTCCCGGGCACAGGAATTCTCGGCGGAGTCGTCGGCGATTGCGCAGGGCCCCGACGATGACGTGCCGGCGCCGGGCCAGCAGTTCGCGCAGTTCGGCGCCGGCTGCTTCTGGGGCGTCGAGCTGGCCTTCCAGCGCGTCTCCGGCGTCACGAAGACGGAGGTCGGCTACACGCAGGGCTTGCTGCATAATCCGACCTACGAGGACGTCTGTACCGGGACGACCAACCACTCCGAGGTTGTTAGGGTTCAGTACGATCCCAAGGAGTGCAGTTTCGAGAATCTTCTCGACGCTTTCTGGGCTAGGCACGATCCCACCACGCTTAATCGCCAGGTGATTGTCGTGAAATTTGCTCAATTTTGTCGGATTCTGTTTAGTATTTTCCCAATTTAGTTCGATTTTCCTGATTTCGGTGGCTTTTGTGATGATTTTTAGTATTCTGGACTCTGGTTGCTGAGTTTAAGTCGAAATATATTAACATATACATATATATATATATATATATATTCTTGTTTGAATTGTGAAATATGCTTAATTTTTATTCAATCAGTTGAATATGTGCCCACTTTAGTTTGATGTTTCGAAATCTGGTTATAGATTATTAGTGTTCTGGATTGCAGTTGTTTTGTGGATGTATGTCGATGATTCCTGTGTTTGTTTGGATAAACATTTCGTGCTCCTTCAAGTTTGATTGATTTGTTTCCCTTTTTTTTCGCATATGTACAAAGCAATAATTTTTTTTTTAATCTGAATACAAAGCTATGATTTTGACACACATATTGAATTGTTGTTAGAGTGGCTTTTTTTTCCATTTTTTTTTTTTTTTTTTTTTTTTTTTTTTTCTTTTTTTTTTTTTTTTTTGTTTTCCAATTTGTTGTCTTTTTTCTTTATTATTAGTTTGCTTTATTGATTTTTTTTTCTTTTCTTTTTTTTTTTCCCATCTCGCTTGTGTATTGGGACCTTTCAACATTGCTTTGTACTTTAAATGAAAATCATAAATGACCACACAAGCTCTTGCACAAGAAATATTGGAATAAAATAACTCCAGTTACAGGAATAACTTTGAATGTAACACCAAAGAAGATCACAAGAACTTCATTTTTCTTTTTCCTTACTCCGTTCCGCTTTTTACGGGAGTTCTTTTTGACACGTTTTTGTAAAATAACTATTGTCCTTTGAACTTAGTCCAACATGTGATAAAGACAACTTTGTTTTAGATGCTGCTTTTAGATTTACGCCATTATAATACAAGTTTGTTATGACTTATCTAGGTAGTTTTCACAAGAGTTTATATCTTTATTATAAATGGTTGTAAATTATTGTTATAACTTTCCTCCTACGTTGATTTTTATGTTTTTACATCCTTTTTATCAGTTGCTATATATACTCATGAGAGTTACTTTATCATGTTGAGACAAGAGAAGTCAAAAATATTGAACTGCTTAATTTTTTGCCTTTAGCTAAGTTGAGTGAATTTCAACATAAATTAAGAGTTGTTTTAATTAAGGTAAAAGAAATTATGAGACAGATCACTAAAATGAACGTTTTGCTTTCTGTCTTGTTGTTTAACACTTCAACCCATATTTTTTATTAAACAAATGGTTTTTCCAACGGTGAACGTGTGGTTTAGGACATGAATGTTTTCAGCCAGATAAGTTGTGTCTTATATGCATGTATGAGGAGAAAATGGCATTACTTCAGTAGGTATGTCAATTTTATGTGGATGTCCAACTTGCTTCATTTCGCTTTGGATGGCTTTCTCACTAGGATGCTCTTTTGTGAAATATTATTTTCACTTTTATCTGGCTACTTATATCAGATTTCCCCACATAACATGAATTGTTAGATACTACTTTGTTACTGTTCCTTCTTGAGTCACATGATGTCAGTTTAAGACGTACCTCTGTCTGTCTGCAATCTTGAAGACGATTACTAGTTGTTTTATCCCCTTTTAAATTCCCAGAATTTGTCAAAGAATTGTTTGATTATGTATAGCTCAATGGGATATTGAATTTGGTGTTCCTAAATAGTGGATGTTATTACATAAGAGAGATCATAGGAAGATGTTCTGTTTTGCTCCTAGAAACTTGTTGACTTTTTGGATCCATGGACTCTGCAGAGGTCTTTCTGGTGTCACACATGCATTGAAATTTGAAAATGAGGTCATTACATTACTATTTAAGCAGAGGTCGTAGGAGTACTTCTCTCTTATGACATAGCCAATTCATAATATCTTGCTTATCCTCGTGAACAGGGGAATGATGTGGGAACTCAATATAGATCAGGAATTTACTACTACACGCCTGAACAAGAGCAAGCAGCGCGAGAGTCGTTGGAGAAGCATCAAAAACTTTTTAACAGAAAGATTGTTACCGAAATCCTGCCGGCCAAGAAGTTCTACCGAGCAGAGGAGTACCACCAGCAGTACCTGGCAAAAGGAGGCCGATTTGGTTTCAAGCAATCTGCTGAAAAAGGATGCAATGATCCAATTCGATGCTACGGCTAATCTTTTTACATTACTGCTTTACAGGTGAATACTGAATACTAGCTGGGGTCAATCTACGATTTGTAACTTCTGTGCTTTTATTGAATAAATGAAACCTTACCACCAGCTTTTTGCATACTTTGTGATGCTAGATTGTGTAGTATGCTTGATGTATCTACTTTTTGAACATAGATATACAAGTAAATACTGTTCTTGATCACCATTGTCTCTGATATGAACTCTATTCCCTGTATCCGTATCAGATTATGTTAGTCTGGCAGTTACTTGTATTAGCTTGTATAGAGAACACTTTTCTCATGCTAGGCCTACGGGGCCCATTTTAATTTGCGTTTTGCCTGTTACTTGACACTCAAGCTTAGGTACCAAACATTGTTTTATATTAGCACCATCCTTGGTGAATTATACCTAAAGATTTCACATCATTGCGTTTCTTAAGCATAGTATGACCGGCCTAAGACCGGTTGGTCTAGTGGCACCTGGAGTTTAAGGGGAAGTAGTGGATTCAATCCTGTATTGTATAAAAAATAAGCATTGTATGACGGACCTGACATCTCCTGATTGTGGGCCAACAAATTACCGTGGCCCAGCTCTATAAGTGGGAAACTATTAATAAATAGAGGAAATAGAGATAATTACAAAATTTTATATCTCGAGTTGAAATTTGGCAAAATTATTAAATTATTACAAAAATAACAAAAATGATATATGAATTATTGTAATGATGTCTATATAATGATATAGTCATTACTTTAAATATGATATCAAATTTTGCTATTCTTGTAAATTTTAAAAATTTTACTATATTTGAACTCTACTGTTTAAATTTTGCCATATGTGTAAACAGCCATAAGAAACAACTGCAAATGAAAATTAGGAATCTGCCCCATTTCTTAGAATGCTTATATAAGTTGATATATAAGGAGAGAAGTTGAGACTTGAGAGCAAAAAGTGTCTGAGAGAGAGTAAATCTTCGTGCCCTCTGGGAAGGTGCATATTTGTAAATCTTTTGCTATTAAATTTTAGGAGAATGAAGTAAATAGTATATTTCTCATTGTATGATACGATATTGATGCGTTTAGAAGGGAGATTTATGTCATGGTTCGAATCATGATTCGTGGTTCGTTACAGTATTTTCTCTCACAAAAAATACACATAAAATGAGAATAATTCTGAATCTATGAACCAAACGTCCACTTAACGTAATTTTGAAGAACAAATCATTCATGTAAATAGTATAAATTTTACTAGTGCTTGATACTTCAGAAATCAGAACTGTATAGGATTCCCACACC